CCGGAAGTACTGGAAAGGGTTACTTCCAGGTTTCGGCGCTTGTGCAGAAGTGCTAAATCACGCTTTGTGCAGAAGTGCCAAATCGCAACCCGTGCATGTGCAGACGCGCCGCTGCGGGTTGCGAACGTGCCTCCCGCACGGATCACGTTCGCAACCCAAGCGTCCACTGTACTCTCGTTTTCCTACTCATATTGAAATACTGCCCCTCAATGAGGCCAAACTTAAGATTCACAAAATGTTTAGGGGTATGCCTACCCCTACGTACCCCCCAGAAAAAAGCACTGATACTACTACTACTACTAATACAGTTGTACCTTGGATCCCGAACGGCTTGCAAGTCAAACGTTTTGGCTCCAGAATGCCGCAAACCCGGAAGTCAATGTTCCAGTTTGTGAACGTTCCTTGGAACCTGAACATCCAATGTGGCTTCCGCAGTTTCTGATTGGCTGCAGGAGCTTCCTGCAGCCAATCGGAATCTGCATCTTGATTTCCGAATGTTTTGGAAGTTCAACGAACTTCTAGAATGGATTCCGTTCGACTTCCAAGGTACCACTGCAATAATAAAATTCCACTTCTATACTGCTTTCATTTAAATTTCATTTCAATTTGTATACCTCCTTTCTATATTACTATACAGAAAGTGGTTTATGAGCTGAAGAAAGCCCAGGACAGGCAGCAAAGATCACACACCTAATAAGCATCTGATCCAAGACAAAGTCACAATAACATTACAGAATAAACAACTTACAGAAAACAAAGCAATGTCAAATAAAGAAATATTCAACAACCCGTTAGAATGTAATAGTAAACCGTAAAACGCTTTTTATATTAAAGGGGGGAAATCGCAAAGCGGTTGACAAAACATTAAAACGTCAAATCAAACAACCCAGAATAAAAAAATTCCAAGCTTCCAGGAAAATATTTCAGATCCTTTTCTCAGGAACATTAGGCTTTCCTCCCATTGATTTTCCTACAGTGGACGCTCGGGTTGTGAACGTGGTCTGTGCGGGATGCACGTTCGCAGCATCCGCAACCCGCAACGGCGCGTCTGCGCATGTGTGGGTTGCGATTCGGCACTTCTGCGCATGTGCGACCGCCAAAACCTGGAAATAACCCGTTCCGGTACTTCCAGGTTTCGGCAGCCTGCAACCCAAAAAAACACAACCTGAAGCATCTGTAACCTGAGGTATGACTGTACTTAATTTATAGAGCTGCCCCATAGCAGGAGGGCTCTAGGAAGGCAGGGTGGTGTAGTGGTTAGAGTGTCAGACGAGGACCTGGGAGATCAGAGTTCGAGTCCCCACTCAGTCCTGAAGCTCACCGGGTGACCTTGGAGTAACAGTCTCTTGGCCCACCTCACAGGGTCGTTGTGGGATTAACTGAGGAGGGGGGTGGACCATGGACTCCTTGGAGAAAAAGCTGGGAGATAAATGAAATAAACAAGTTCTTCTGCTTATCTGCTTAAGAAAGCTGGATGGGACAGCCAGATGGAGATGTCAGTCGCCATCCTGGCACCCAGAAAGATCTCCATGCAGTTTAATGTTTTAATGTGTTGTCAACCACTCAGAAATGAAAGTAATAATAATATGTACCACTGCAAAAAGAAAGAAAAAGATGGTGCCTGGACGTTCTGTTGTGGCGACAACAAGCTAGGTTTAAGGTGCCATTTGGAGATAAGCTAATATATCGGCAGGGACGCGGGTGGCGCTGTGGGTTAAACCACAGAGCCTAGGACTTGCCGATCAGAAGGTTGCCGGTTCAAATCCCTGTGACGGGGTGAGCTCCCGTTGCTCGGTCCCTGCTCCTGCCAACCTAGCAGTTCAAAAGCACATCAAAATGCAAGTAGATAAATAGGTACCGCTCCGACGGGAAGGTAATGGCGTTTCCGTGCGCTGCTCTGGTTTGCCAGAAGTGGCTTAAGTCATGCTGGCCACATGACCCGGAAGCTGTACGCCGGCTCCCTCAGCCAGTAAAGCGAGATGAGCGCCGCAACCCCAGAGTCGGCCACGACTGGACCTAATGGTCAGGGGTCCCTTTACCTTTAATATATTGGCGTTTTCAACCCTGTATCAGCTGATGCCACAGCACTAGAAGCAAGTCACTGTTTCCCATGCGCAACTGCTTTTAAGCTAACCACCGTGGAGCAGGAGATTCAAATGCGCTTCTCAGACTGAGCCCACCTCACAGGGTTGTCAGGAGATTTAAGAACCACGGCGAAACATAAGCAGTGGGAAGAGGCTTAGCTGATGGGAAAGGCTGTAGCTCTGCGACAGGGGGGCGGGTTCTGCCCCCACCTTCCTGTTTAAAACCACAAAAACCCTGAGGACTAGAGTCTTAACTTATTTTCAAGTGGTGTACCTCAGTGGTAAGAGCACTTGCTTTGAATGTAAAAGGGCATTTGCAGGCTCAGCTGGCAGAGGTCCCTTGCCTAAAAGCCCAGAGGGCGGCTGCCAGTCAGTGCAGGAGGTGAATGGTTCCACTCTGTCAAAGGCAGTGTGGTGTAGTGGTTAAGAGCGGTAGACTCATAATCTGGTGAGCCGGGTTTGAGTCCCCGCTCCTCCACATGCAGTTTTCTATTCTTCCGTATAATGCAAATGTTGAAGCCCTGGGTTGTGGGTTCGAGTCCCACACTGGGCAAAAAGATTCCCGCATCGCAGAGGGTTGGACTAGATGACCCTCGTGGTCCCTTCCAACTCTATGAGTCTATAAACAATTTCCCTTAGCCTGCATGGGAACAAAACAAAACTTCTCCAGTGTCTTGTCAAGCTGTTCAGAATCAATCAATCAATCAATCAATCTTCCTAACTGAACACGACTGGCCTCATAAGCCAACCCCTTCTTTCAGAAGTTCCTAAACACCACATTTTATTTTTGAAGCTGTTTCTCGGCATTTCACTCGCTAGGAGGAGGAGGGAGGGGGGAATCCGATGTATTTCCTGGTCAAATGTTCTCCTGCCAGAAGGATTCGCACGCTTTAGTTTATCCGTTCCAGAAAGGCCTCGCCAGAATATAAGAAGACCCAAGATAGTGACTTTGCAAACACAGTCCCGGGCAAATAAATCAGGGTTTTTATATATACAGCCTGCCTAAGAGATTGCTTTAAAAACCTGCCACGAAGACACTTTGCGCGCACACACACAAAGGAGAAACATAACAGGTTAGTGCTTGGAAAATAAAATTATAGAGAGAGAGCAAGAATGCCTCCAAATGGGTGGTCCCCTTCGCTCGGAGCGCCGCAGGCCTGCCCCCAGAAGGAATTCCTCCCTATTCCCCCATCTCCAAAACCCACGAGACATTTTGATTTTTGACTGTCTGGGGGCAATTTAGGACGATAAGCAGAGAGAGAGAGAGAGAGAGAGAGAGAGAGAAAGAAAGAAAGAAAGAAAGAAAGAAAGAGATGTTCCCTGCATAAAAAACCCCAAGGATTCAAAATCCCTTTATGTGTTTCACATCAAAACACTTTTTTTTTGGGGGGGGGTTCTTTTTGGCAAGTTGGGAAGTGGCAGGATGAAGAAAAGATGCGAATAAAGGAGGAGTTCTTTGCTTTAATAACAAAACAAAAGACTTGCTACAGATAACAGAAGGTTCCAAGGGGGGGGGAGGAAAACAAACCAGTATTGCAACAGTTAGATTTTCACTTTTTCTTTTTGCAATGGGGGGGTGGGGGTCCTACTAAGGAGGGATGAAAGAGAAACTCTAAATGAGGAGGAAGAGAAAAGACAAGGCCTGGTCTGAGATGGGTGGAAAGGAAAATGAGGTGGGGGTTTGCCAACCTGGGGGTTAAAAGGCACTCGGCTACAGCTGCACTGACCCTCATCCCCCCCCAAAAAAACTCCCTTTTTTGTTAAAGGTTCCTTTCATTTCCTCCTTTTGTCTCCCCTCCCCCTCACCTCTCTTTTTTCCTTCCTTTTCCATGAACACACCCAAGCTATGGATGTTGCTAACCTACTGTTTTGGAAAAAGGGACTTTTGGGGGGGGGGTTGAGAAAGAAGCCCAGGGAGGAAAGGGGGAAAATGATAAAAGCAGACTCAGAATAACAACTGTTTACCAGGCATTCTTTCCTTTCAGTTGCAATCATCATCATCATCATCATCATCATCATCATCATCTCATTGCTGTTTCAAAAGATAACCCTCCAAGTTAGAAACCACCGCTCTTCAAATTGGGGGAGAATATTTCAAAAGTTTTTTTTTGGGGGGGGAGGGGGTTTCCAAAAAAAGCACTGAAAATATAATACAGCTTAAGCACTGCTCTTTGTTTTGCAAAACGAAAGAAAGGGAAGACAAGGGAAGTTAAGAGCAAAACAAATAAGTAGGCCCAGGTCACAGTTACTTCTTTTTCTTTCTTTCTTTTGGGGGGGGGGAGAAAAAAAACGGAGAACAAGCCTCTCTTCCAATTCACACAAACACATGTCTCTGTCCCACACAACCCAAATCCACTTTTTTAAAAACTGGTCCATCCCCCCCCCCTTTAAAGTTGGAAAGGCTTGTGGAAAGGAGGTGGGTATTTTATGGAATTCCCTCCAGCCTAAATGCAAATCCCCCCCTACAAAAAAATTAAAATATAAAGGGGAGGCTGTGAGGGTGCTTTATTTATTCCTTGGGTGGAAGAGAGAAATTGGGGTGTGTGGAAATGCAACAGGGCCAGCAGGCCTCTCTCTGCCCCCCCCCTTTTTCCAAGTTTAACTCACACCCAGCTAAGCCTCCTTCCTTCTCCCCCCTCCCACCAGCAGCCCCCCCACCAATAAATTCCTAATAAAATGTCTATAAATGTGTTGCAATAGGGCTGGATCAAGGTGCAATAAGATTAAGACCCCCCTGGCCCCAAATGCAGCTTCCTCTTTCCTCCCCCCTCGAAAAAACATTGCATTGCTGGCTCTTTTTCTGTCCCCCCCCCCAAAAAAAAATTTGCACCTATATAAAGCAATGCAAATGGGGGGGACTGGGCAGAACCCCCCCTCCAAAGCCCTTCCCAAATTAACCCCCCCCCAAAGACTCACCTGGCTTTCTTCCCCCTCCCCCTGGCTCCTCAGGGGTGGGGGCCCCCGGGCCTGCCCCCCTCCAGGCGCCCCATTTGGTGCTCCGCTCTCTTCCCAGCTCTTTCGCCTTCTGAGCAAGCCAAGCAGGGAAGGGACGGCCGGGGCGCCAGCGGCGTAAGGCCCGGCGGCGCTCTATGGCGCTGACGTCACGCCGCCGGCGCAAGCCGCCTTGGTGAATCCGGGGCTCCGCTCCGGAGCTGGCTTAGGCGACTCGGGCTCGCTCGCTCGCTGGCCCGCCAGGGGGGCCCTCCGCGCAGGCGCAGAAAGGGGCGGGCGGGAGGGGAAGAGGAAGAGGCGGCGGGCAAAGAGGGGAGAGGTCGGTGGTACTCGGAGAGACACTTCCGGATTCCCGTTGGAGGGATCGTCCATGTGCGGGGCAAAATCTGGACCATTCGGCCTATGGAATAATTCCATGACCAGAAGTTAACCCATATGTAACTGGGCTTATTTTACGCGCCTAATCTTATGGGTTATTTTATTTTATTTCATTTTTTAACTTCCATGTCTTGTCATAGAGTTGTCTCTTATTTCTTGAATATTTGCAAACAAATTGTAAACAGATAAGAACATGGGCAGGATTATAGGAGCGTATATTTAAAGTAGATGAATAAATGAACGAATTTAAGCTCATTTGGAGGTGCAGGAATTATTGAAAAATAAATTGAAGGAACGGCAGAAAGAGGGGGAAGGAAGTCGAGTTTTGAAATGTTAAAATGACTGTAAAATTATTGAAATGTATAAACCTGAAAATGAATGAATGAATGAATGTCTCTTGTTATTTATTGTTATCTCCCTCCCCCATCTCTCTCTTTTTGTATATATATATATATATATATATATGTGTGTGTGTGTGTGTGTGTTGTTAAGTTGTGGGTGAACATATCAGAGGACACAGCGATTCTTCAAAGCAGCTCTTTATTTGTAAGCTGGAACAGAACTGATCAGCAAACAGCTCAGCCGGCCTGCTTTTATAGGCAGCCGGCTGTCAACATTGGAACAACAACAACCCAGGGTTTCCTGCCTAAATTAACTGACATGGACCTGAGTGAAAACTACACACACACACACTACTCCAGGTGGCCAGGGGGAGAACTTCAATACATAACATATGTTGCTCTTGTTGTTTAGTTGTTTAGTCTTGGAAGGAGAGTCGACCGCCTTCCGAGGGATTTCCTCCCGCTGTCAAACAGCTCTTGCTGTCAGAAAGTTCTTCCTGGAGTCAGAATCTCCTTTCTGGTCGCTTGAAGCCAGGGCTTTTAGATAGATCGGTTGGATAGAGTGTGGTGCTAACGATAACAATAACGGTAATGATAACGATCTTATACCCTGCCCATCTGGTCAGGCCTCCCCAGCCACACTGGGCGGCTTCCAACAGGAGAATAAAAGCACAATAAAACATCAAACGTTGAAAACCTCCCTAAACAGGGCTGCCTTCTTATGTCTTCTAATGCCGCCGGCCCTTGAGATATTGACAGGGCTCTCATATCCATGTCCGGAGGGACAGGGAGCAAAACATCTCTCTCTCCCCTTTCCCCGCCCCATGCAGAATGGCAAGGGGTCTGTGCATCCGGCTGGTAAGAAGGTGGTGGGAGTGTGGAGCCTAGCCAGGGGCTGGCTGTGGGCAGGATCCTTGCACTGCCGGGGTTTGGACTAGATGCCCCTTGGCACCCCTTCCAACTCTGCCATGCTCTGATTCTCTCGAGCTGCTGAATGAACGGGCAGGGGAGGAAGATGCAAAAGAAAGGGAGGCACAACCACACACCCCAAGAGCCCCCTCTGGCCTGACCCACGGTGGCCTCATCCCAGCACACTTTGACCCCCCTGGGTTTATTTTTCTTCATTCAGCTGCCGGACAACCCAGCAGCCTGGCCCCTGTTTGCCAGCTGATGTCATAAAGTGCTGCTTTGCAAGCAAGCCTGATAATGCCCTGCAAGGGGGATGCCTGTCAGATGATGCTGAGAGATTTGTAGAGAAAGATGAATATTGAAGGTAGGAGGCCTAGAGGAGATGAGCCGCAGTAGTAGTATTATTATTATTATTATTGGCGTCACCCGTCACTGGAGCACGGGGCTTGGCTCCTTGGCTTGACTTGTTGACAGCTGTCGATAGCTTGCCAGGTCCCTGCCTCTCAGCAATGCAGCTGTGCAGAATTAGCCCCTTTTCACGCTGCAAGAGACCCAAATGGATGGTGTGTACACAGCCTTTGGTGGAAAGGCTTCTAGGGGACTTCAGCTTGCACGGGGCAGGAGCCAAGACATCCGTATCTTTCTGGTAGAATTCCTCTGTGTATTCTTGCCACCTCTTCTTGATGTTTTCTGCTTCTGTTTGGTCCTTACCACTTTTGTCCTTGGTAATCTTTGAACAAAATGTTCCTTTCATATCTCCCATGTTCTTGAACAGATCTCTGGTTCTTCCCATTCTGTTGTTTTCCTCTATTTCTTTCCATTGCTCGTTTAAGAAGGCCCTCTTGTCTCTCCTTACTATTCTTTGGAATTCTGCATTCAATTTCCTGTATCTTTCACTATCTCCCTCGCATTTTGCTTGCCTTCTCTCCCCCGCTATTTGTAAGGCCTCGTTGGACAGCCACTTTGCTTTCTTGCATTTCCTTTTCATTGGGATGGTTTTCATTGCTGCCTCCTGTATAATGTTGCGAGCCTCCATCCATAGTTCTTCAGGCACTCTGTCCACCAAATCTAAATCCTTAAACCTGTTCCTCACTTCCACTGTGTATTCATAAGGGATTTGATTTAGAATGTATCTTACCGGCCCAGTGGTTTTTCCTCCTTTCTTCAGTTTAAGCTTGAATTTTGCTATAAGAAGCTGATGATCTGAGCCACAGTCAGCTCCAGGTCTTGTTTTTGCTGACTGTATAGAGCTTCTCCATCTTTGGCTGCAGAGAATATCATTTCGATGCGGCCCATCTGGTGATGTCCATGTGTAGAGTCGTGTTGTTGGAAAAGAGTGTTTGTGATTACCAGCTTGTTCTCTTGGCAGAACTCTATTAGCCTTTGCCCTGCTTCATTTTGAACTCCAAGGCCAAACTTGCCACTTGTTCCTTTTATCTCTTGACTCTCTACTTTAGCATTCCAATCCCCTATAATGAGAAGAACATCCTTCTTTGGTGTCATTTCTAGAAGGTGTTGTAAGTCTTCAGAGAACTGGTCAATTTCAGTTTCTTCAGCACCAGTAGTTGGTGCATAAACTTGGATTACTGTGATGTTGAAAGGTCTGCCTTGGATTCATATCGAGATCATTCTATCATTTTTGAGGTTGCATCCCAGTACAGCTTTTCCACTCTTTTGTTGACTATGAGGGCCACTCCATTTCTTTTACTGGATTCTTGCCCACAGTTGTAGATATAATAGTCATCCGAACTGAATTCGCCTATTCCCATCCATTTTAGTTCACTGATGCTCAGGATGTCAATATTTATTCTTGCCATCTCATTTTTGACCACATCCAGCTTACCAAAGTTAATGGTTCTTACATTCCAGGATCCTATGCAATATTTTTCTTTACAGCATTGGACTTTCCTTTCGCTTCCAGGCATATCCGCAACTGAGCGTCCTTTTGGCTTTGGCCCAGCCGCTTCATCAGCTCTGAATCCACTTGTACTTGTCCTCCGCTCTTCCCCAGTAGCATGTTGGACACCTTCCGACCTGAGGGGCTCATCTCCCAGCGTCATAACTTTTATATGCCTGTTGTCTTTGTCCATGGAGTTTTCTTGGGAGGGATACTGGAGTGGCTTGCCGGTTCCTGCTCCAGGTGGATCACGTTTGGTCAAAACTCTCCACTATGACCTGTCCAGCTTGGGTGGCCCTGCACGGCATAGCTCATAGCTTCTCTGAGTTATTCAAGCCCCTTCGCCACGGCAAGGCAGTGATCCATAAAGGAGCCCAAAGCAACTACTCTATTCCAAACTTATTCACTTTATTATCATGCGTTGGCAAAAGACTGTTCTGAATTTGTAGGGGACACCTCTAAACCCTAGAAAGAAAGAAATGGTAGGATGTGGACGATTTGGAGTATTCAGGGAAATGCGCCTAGCAGGCTTCAGCTTGCACGGGGCAGGAGCCTGGTGAAATTACTTTCCTATTATTTCTTTGCGCCATCACTGCGCGTGACCCTTGATCAAAAGGTCCCTGCCCCGAGGGGCTTACAATCTTTAATAGGACACAGGGAGGGAACAGAGAAAGGTTGAGGTCCTGGCTGGATCCTGAGTCTAGGTCTCTGAATTTAAACTTTGGGATTTCCGGACATTTTCCCACCTGTAACCTCTTCCTCTGTTTTTTATTTTCCTTTCTGTCTCCTAGGACATAAAAGATTGCTCAGACGGCAAAGCATTAATCCACCACTGGAGATTGTGGTAAGTTACTTCCATGGGGAATCCATTCCCCACATGTGCAGGGAGGTCATGGCGCTGACCTGCGTGAAACAGGGCTGGGTTGGGGGGTTGCAGGCTGGTCTCGCCCCAGCCCCTTGCCCCCCTCCTTCCAAGCCAGGGGTCAGGCGCCCAGGCAGGAGCAGGTTGGCAGCCTGTGGTGACGTGGGCATGGGCACCCTGGCAGGGGTGCTTGTTCTGCCCCCCTAGAGAGTACAATGTTCTTCTTCCTTTGCAGGGCCGTGGTTTGGGGAATCAACAGCAGCCCAGCGGTGCAGGGAAAACCAGCAAAATCCAGAGGTATGTTGTGACCTTGTGTGGCAGGGGAAGTGTTTCCCAGGGATCTTGTGGTTGGAGGAGGAAGGCCTGATTTAGAGATCGCTATAGTTTTATGGAGAGGGTTTCTCTGTAGTCCAGGTAGGGCCCTAGCTGGGGGTGGTGGTGAGGTGGGCCCCCGCCAGGGACGCAGGTGAGGGGTGGGGCACAAAATCGACTCCAAAATTTGTCCATCAACATGTCTAAATATAGAGGTGGTAATAATGAATATTATCATCTGTATATTTATTTGGTTCCAACTCCTCCAAGCAATCAGACTAACAGAACTTGTTTCTTTCTTAGGCGAGAGGCCCGCCAGTACGAGGGGGGAAAGGCTCCCACTTCAGGTAAGTGGAAATGCCAACAGAGTGCCCCATATTTTAGGAATGCTTCCTTCCTGTGTGCCCCCTCCCTCATGCGCCAGACTGGTGCTATCATCTGATTCCTCCATTTCTTTTGCAGGGAGGGAGCCTTTCCCCAACGTTTACTTCGTGCTGGTGAGATCCCTGGAGGGACGTGGCAAACGTGGCGAACATCAGGTACTGGGACAGAAGGAAGGGGTCCTTGTGAGACTTCTTGGGGGGGTCATCAAAAATGGGGCAGTAGTTTTTCATCCGCCCCAGCCCTTTCTCATCAGATGCTTTCTGCTTTCTCCACAGGACCGCGCCTCCAGGGATGAGGCTCCAGCACCTGCTCCTGGGATCAAAAATGAAAGACCATCGCGGCGGTTCCCAGCGCCTGATCCTGATCCTCACCTGCCTCACCCTCCGTCGGTTCTCCGTACGGGCATGCCTCCTTCCTGGCCGTACTTGGCGCAGAAGCAGCAGCCAAGGTTTCCCCCCATCAAAAACGCCTCAAGGGTGATTCCGGAGCCGGGGGAGACTTTGGCTGCTGCCTCTGTGCCAGGCCGGTCAGGATGGAGCCCAGTCGCCCGTACGGAGGAATTCAGGGTGGGGCAGTTAATAAGATCAGGTAGGTAGAAATGCCCCCTTCCCAGGTCCCCACCCTCCTGCCCCAGACTGGGGCTCGCGTGGCTGGGAGCCAGGCTCCGGCTGATGTCTCCCTTTGTTTTGCAGCAAGGAGGAGGTTCAGCCTGGGAGCTGCCGCATCCCGGGAGGGCCTGGAGCCGAGGCAACAGCCTCTCGCCTCACAGGTAAGGGGACAGGGGGGTTTCATTGCTTTGCCGCTCTATGCTTTGCCGCTTGCGATTTGCGGGTTTGGGGGGGGCGTGGGCAGGGGGCGCGTCAGAATGTCACCGCCCTGCGGGATGGCACCTGGGGCAGCCCGCCCCCCTGCCCCCCATCGTACGCCCCTGGCCAGAAACAGGATTTGAGCCCAAGAGCCCTCTGCTCACCTAGGACTTCCTGCAACGACTTCTTGAAGCCCCGCCCCTGGTCGTTTGGTCTGTGACAGACCATTCACACATTCAGGGATTTCTTCTTTCTTGCAGGGTATGTCTTCTGCACCGCTGTGGCTGCTGCTAAAGCCCCCTCCCCGCAAATAATACAGGTAAGAGGGAGAAGGGAGAAATTGCATGGAGCGGGGAGAACACCCTGCTCCAGACTTACCGACCAACTGACTTAAAATCATGGCGTTCCTACGAGAATTGGCATCAAAATAACATGGGAGCAGTACAGAAATGGATAAGGTGGAGCTATAGCTGATAAGGAATGCAGTGCTCAAGGTTTGGGCAAGGAGGACAGACCTGGGCTAAAGCAAGTCTTCTTCTCCCACAGGCCAGTCGTGCTGCCCTCAGAGAGCGCCGCTTGGAGCGGAGTCGCGTTGACTGGCCAGCGTCAGTTTTTCCGCCAGTGGCAACCGCCTGGCCTGGGTCAGCCATGATAGCACTGTGTCGGTTGCAGATGCCTCCAAAAACATGATGATCTCGCAACTGAAAACAGAATTCCTCCCATTGCTGGGTGTGTCGTTCGTCTCGGAGAACAGTGTGGTTGCCGCTGGCCATGATTGCTGCCCGATGCTCTTCAACTGTGACGTCCGTGGTACCCTCACCTTTGTCTCCAAGCTGGACATTCCCAAGCAGAGCATACAACGCAATATTTTGGCCATGGAACGTTTCCGCAACATGGACAAGAGAGCCACTACGGAGGATCTCAACACTACTCTGGAGACGCTGCATCAGAGCAGCATCACCCAAGTGTCTATTTATGAGGTGGACAAACGAGATTGCCGCCAGTTCTGCACCACTGGTAATGATGGAGCAATGACCACCTGGGACTTCAAGACATTAGAGTCCTTGATCCAGGGGCTGCGGAGCATGTAAATCTGGCTCTCTGTTCTCTAGCAAGACAACTCATTCTGGCACCTGCACAGACTTGAAAAGGGATGGTGAAGATAGGTCGCTTTTTGAAGCACTGAGAAAATGACGACTTGGTGGATTTTTTCCCCTTTTCCTTTTCATCCCCCAATTTTGGTGAAATGTGTTGGTTTGAAAATCAGCTGTGATTGTGTTATATATTTGGCTTTGTTTTTATTATTATTATTATTGGTTGTTTCATTCCATTCTTTGCCAAAGCTGCTCCTTAAAATAGTTTATTGCAGGAAGTATGAATCCCTAACTTAAAAGGGGAATTTTGTGTAAAAATGTCTGTTAGAACTGAAAAAAATAAAGGAAAAAAAATAAAGATAACTCTGTAGCTGTTTCTTCTATGGGAAATAGTCCACCTGGAAACTTCGGTGAATTTCTGAAAAGTTTTTTTCTTGGAAAATGTACAACTAGACCATGAGTCAAACCAAAACCACAGGTCTTGTATGAAGTCGATGTCTATATTAAAAGTGTTCTCTTGTGGCTGACAAACAGTCTTGTGTTGGTTGTCAGTGTGAATTTTGCAACACTGATTTGTGGGCAGAAGCTTCATGCCAGCATTTGAAATTAGCCAGGGGCATTTTGCAGCTGCCTGTCGGCCACTGGTGATGCCAGGGAGCCAGGATGGTGTCTGGGAATAACTGGATAGCATAGTGAATATTATACAGCCTAATAGAAAAATAGTTCATAGCAATAAACAATCCTCTCCCCTCCCCTTTCACAGGCCATAGATTATTTAATGGCCAGAGGCCTAGGTAAAGAGACGTGTAATGATGGTGCCAAGCCCAGCCTCTGGGAAGACTAATCGGGGAGCCACTGCAGAAAAGGCCCTTTCTCTTGTTGTCCCCCTCCAAAACCCCCTTATTGGGGACATGGAGAAGGGCCCCAGGTGGCAAGTGCAGGGTACGAGTGGGTTGGTTCCAGGGCTTATAGGTTCCCGCCACCTCGGTATAACATTGCTGTGAACAACGGTGCTCCAGTCTCTGACCAAGGGAGAATTTTACTGTTCTGGTTCCCTGTGGTCCTTTACTGGTGGGATAGCTCAGTCGGTAGAGCATGATGCTCTCAACCTCCAGGGTTGTGGGCAGTGGCGTAACAAGGTCAGGTGGTACCCGGTGTGGAATTCCCCCCCCCCACACATTGAAATTTCCCCTTCCTCTACCGCCCATCAAAGAAAGCCGCGCAGGCAGCCATCCGATGTAGATCCAGGCTTCTGCCCCCGTCAAAGGAAGCCACATCCTTCCCTCCCCCAGGAGCACAGGGGGCAATGGTGTGCTGCCCCCCCATGACTCCCAAGCCTCCACCGATCTGTCAAAATGAAGGGAGGAGGGGGGACTGCTGCCAGCAAAGCAGCACAGCACCCCCCCTTACCCCGATGGCTTGGGGTAGGCTTGGGAGTCGTGGGGGGAGCCCTGAATGCCACCCCCCTCAGTGTGTGTGTGTGTGGCTGCGCTCGAAGATGTGCTGCTGCTGATGAGGCAATAAGTAACCAAAGAATTAAACCCCCGTGTTGCAAACAATCGTCAGTAATATCCAAGGCAACACGATGACCAAATGCAACAATGCGATGTCAATATAAACTCTTTATATATAGATACAGAACGTTGAACAATATGTAATATGTGAAATATGCACTCTGTGCCAGTGGTGTAGCGTGGGTTGTCAGCACCCGGGGCAAGGCAAGTACCGTAATTTGCGCCTCCTAACCCGTGGATTTGCGCCCCCTAACCCGTGGATTTGCGCCCCCTAACCTGTGGATTTGCCCTAACCCCAGATGTTGCACCCGGTGCGGCTGCCCCCCCCTGCACCCCCCACGCTACACCACTGCTCTGTGCAAAACCAAATCTTCCAAATCTATGAAAGTCACAAAAGGTGCACTCTTGGTGGATTCTCTTGAAAACAGAGAACCAAATAAACACAAGTCTTATAATACGTCTCTGAAAGTCTTTGTAGACTAAGCAAGTCTCTGAAAGAAGCAATGGGTCAGATTCTGTTCTGGTGAAAACAAGCTGTAAAGCTTTGTTTTTTATGACGTCCAACGCTTTGTGACTTTCATAGATTGATAAGATTTCTGTTTATTTGGTTTTGCAGAGAGTGCCTTGGATATTTCTGCTCATGAGGCAAGGCAGCGTCCCCCCAAGGGTGGGACATGGACGGGACGGGCAGACCGCCCCCACCCCACCCCCTTCCTCCGCCAGTGATGGAGAGTACCTGGACCATGCTTTCAAAGGATAAATACTGTAATCCCATATGCTAACATCAAACCAAAGCAATACCAAAACAGAGACGTATTGAGCAGTCTTGGGGTCTGCAGAAGTAAAAAAAAAAAGCCATTTTCTCCCAAAAGCCCAATGAAGCTACTACAGAACACTGAGCATCTGTTAAGGTAGGGGTGGCTTGGCACAACCGAATACCATGGAGGAATTATCCTAGGGGAAAAGCATAGCTGGCTGGCCCCCTGAACAGCACCCTGCAACGTTTACTTGCAGGTCCCACTTGTACACCTCCTTGTTTCTGATCTAGGCTGGCTGAACATCCATTTACCAGGACATCGTAACTCAAATGAACACTACTCCCATTAACAGTAAATAGGAGAAACATACAAACAGTTGTGTGCCCAGTTGTGAGATGGTTTTAAGCGGAAACCCGCGAAGGGGCCTTATTATAGTCAGACTGCTGGTCCCATCTGGCTCAGTACTGTCTACACGGATCGGCAGCCGCTTTCCAGGATTTCAGATGAGGGGCATTCCCAGTCCTGGCGACGGTCAGAGTTTGCACCCGGGACCTTCTGGAAGCCAAGCAGGTGTTCTGCCAGCGAGCTACCCAAACTCCGCAGGATAGCAAGTCGAAAAAGTGTGAATTGCTCCCTAATGCCCATTAGCAACTGCGCTTGCAATTATTGATTTGGGTATAGGCCTATGGTTCAGGGGGATTTACTTCCAGACAACTGTTGCTTGTACAATTTTTAAATTATTATTTCTTCGCACGCTTTTAAGCATCTGCTAAAGCACCATTATTATTTTTTTTAAAAAAAATTTTATTCAAAGTTTTTTTAAAAAACATACAATAAACAGACAAAAAGAAAAAAGAACAAAGAAGAACATAGAAAAAAGAGTAAAAAAAATAAAAAAATAAAAAATGAAACACCATTATTTTAAAACGGGAAAAAAAGCTTGGTTCACTCCATCAGCAAAGCTGCCCCCCTACAAAAAAAGCTAGGTGGTGTGATTCGGTTTAAGGTCTGCAACAAAAAGAAATGTCTCATTCTGCCTGCTTTACTTAACAGTAGGCAAAACTTTGCTTTCTCCACTCTCCTATGGGAGGCGTCCCATCGGATCCCGGTGTAATGGCCGCTGGGAAATCCTCGCTTCTTTTCTTTATCTCTTTCCTTTTGAGGAAGAGGCGGAAGAGACGACGTAAAGTGGGAGGGGCTGGGAAGGAAATAAGGTTTTGCGGCAACAGGGCGGGGGAGAGTGGTTTGCGACAGTGTCGGGACTTACGGCAGCTCGTTAACCCTTTCCGTTCCGGTTGATTTTCCCAGCTCCTTCCTATAGCAGTTTGTTTTTCTATTGATTTAGGAATCCTCTAGGTTAGATTACTACAACGCGCTATCTGAATTCTGAAGCACAGAATCATAGAGTTGGAAGGGACCCCATGGGTCATCTAGTCCAACCCCCCTCCAATGCAGGAATCTTTAGCCCAAGCCGGGACTCGAACCCACGACCCTGAGATTAGGTCTCATGGCAGTTTGGAAGCTTAAACTGGTGCAGAATTTGGTGGCAAGAAAGTTTGAGCATATTGCACCGATCCTGACCCGATTGCACTGGCTGCCTGTCGGCTTCAAAGTGCTGGTTTTGACCTATAAAGCAATAATAATAATAATAATAATAATAATAATAATAATAATAATAATAATTATACTCCATCCATATGGCTGGGTTGTCTCAGCCACTCTGGGCAGCTTCCAACATATATAAAAACAGTGAGACATCAAACATTAAAAACTTCAGATATCTTCTAAAAGTTGTATAGTTGTATATTTCCTTGATATCCGACAGGAGGGCATTCAACAAGGTGGGTGCCACCACTGAGACGGCCCTGTGCCTGGTTCCCTGTGTTAACGGAGAAATCTGAGGGCTCCCTTGGACAAAAAACAAGGACACCAGCCAGGAATACCAGAACAAAACAGCAGCCAGTAGGCTTGGTCTTTATGGAAGACTGTCGCGACAGGACTCCCACCTGCCACCAGGTGGAACAAGATGGAAGCCCCAAACAAAAGAGAACCCAAACTTTTATTAGCTGTTAATCCCCATGTTACACCCCCCCAAACTACATCACTAATGCATCATGGTTACATCATGAAAGGGGAGGTCTGGTGGCAGGAATCTGAGCATCCTGGACCCTGCCCCATGGTTCCCCTTGCCCTCCACCAAACACCCATCAAGTGTAACAAAAGAGATCTTTACATTTCCCTGTTTCCCAGCCAAGTTCATCACACCCTTTTGTCTTCATCTGGGTTTGTTATTTCTGGAATGGCTACCTGTCTGGCACTCAGGTATCAGGATGCCAGGGATCATCACTCAGGCAGAGGGGTTGTTGAGTAGCTGAGCTCACATGTCTATATGAATTTCTGAAGTTTTCCCAGTGAGCCAGTACATAGAGACATTGATCAGTGAATTCTTACATTTGGTATCACACAGCAAAGGCCCTTTGAATAGATAG